TCTCTCTCTCTCTCTCTCTCTCTCTCTCTCTCTCTCTCTCTCTCTCTCTGAGTTTTTACTAACTGTGCATCACAAAATTTTGTCAGAAAACATGTTGTATCTGGGACAGCTTTAGTAGTACATGCAAAATGAGAGTAACAAATTATTCCCAATAGGATAAAAATAAATTCCTGTAAATTGTTATTAACACAAAGTAAAAAATTGAGTAAATAAGTAAGAATTCTCCTTACAGTTTAATTCTAAATCACAAACTATAAGTAAAAGGAGTCATACAGAGTTTAGCTAACATTACTGAAAAAAATAATTGTTAAAAGCCAAAGATAATAAACAAGAGCCAACAAGATGATGACCTGAGTTGGTACCTGGGACCCAAATGGCAAGACAGCAGAGCCAATTCCTGCAAGCAGTGTTCTGATTCTACATGCATAGAACAGAAAATATCAGTACGCATAAAAATGAATAAATAAATAAAATTTTAAAATTATGTTGATAAATAGGATATTGAAATTCTTATCTCCCCACAAATTTATTGGCTACAAAGTGGGGAAAATGGAAGTTTAATTGACTATAATTGGTAATACCAAATAATCTGAGTAAATGTTGAGTTAACAGTAGTTAAGACGTTGGCCTATGTTCCTTCTTATGGTGCATGGAGAATGGTATAACTGCTGGTCTCTGCCAAAAATGCACAACCTCATTCTTGTCATGATAAACCATGGAGGAGTACTGTCGTGAGCCACCTTTTTGGGGTGACTTCTGCTACAGTCCTAGCCACAGCAGGTTTATACATTCAGGGTAGGGGTGAGAAGATTAGAAATGTTAGCTAGATGGAACAGACATAAGAAAGAATCAGAGAGTCATAGGATAGTATCAGGATGACACCTCAGGGAATACTGAGTGCTGAATTTTGAGTTCTGAGTTCACCGTGTTTAATTTTCCATACACTTTTATACCCCAATACAAAACTGGGAAAAGGAAAAGACTGCTCTAACATGATACAAAGGATAATCAGAACAGTTACTTGCCCCAATACTTGAGACATCATGTCATTAATTCTTGAGAAGAGCATTCTGTTGTTTAGACAGTGAACCCACCCTAGACCAAGTATCCAGAAGACAGCCACTCCCTAGGTTATTTCAAAAGAAGGAGCAGAAGTATGCTTGAATTCTCTGACCTTTGGGCCACCTTAATGTCCAAAACACCAAGTAACCACACCCTAGGTCAGGGTGTGTAGCTACAGTTTTTGTCAACACCTTTAAGCAAGCACAGATTCTGACCTTCAGACAAGGTGGCCTACGCTCACATTTTGGGGCCTCCACAGAATATCATTCTACACAATTTATCCCAGTGGTGATAAGCTGTGGAGCAACCTGTATGTTTTACACAGCTGGACTCTACTGATAAGGAACTGTGGAGCAGCCCATACGTAGTAGCACTCTACACAACCTCATTCCAGTGATGGTGAACAAGGAATGACATTCTTGTCTTGGTTACTTTTCTATTGCTGTGCTAAGATACCATGATCAAGGTAATTCTGTCTTAGTACCGAGCCCTGCTCCTCTACAGAGACAGGATATCTGCAGAATTTTAGGGTATATGAGAGCTTCTGAAAATCAAGCAAGATAGCATAGGACCAAGCAAAGAGCGTGCCAAGGCAGAGGAATGAAACAATAGCTCTGGAGGCAGGAAGTGGCTTTCTTTCTGTGACTGTGGCTTCCCAAGTGCTCTTGGGCAGAAACCGTGTCTGCGCCCTTGGCTTTCTGCTAAGAAGAGGTGTGTGTTAAGTTGATTATAAGAATTGAGTTGGAAGTATGTGCACACAGGCTTTTCGGTCATGCTGGACCCCAGCAGTTTAGAGAAAGGTGCTCATGGAAATGTTCTTTGGAAAGGGTTTTTATTACTGTTTCTAACATTGGAATTGTGGAGAACTGTGTCAGGGATAATGATCTGTTGAGATTGATGAAATTTCCGTCAGTGCCACTCATCACTGTTTGAAACACTGCCAAAAGGTTTGAGTTTCTCAGCTTTGATTCTGTCTCCTGTGAAATATGAGGGGTAGCTGGGATAATGAGATCATCTACGGAGATGGAAGAGAGGAGTGTGCTCTGCTTCTTTAAGCACCTGATAAATGAAAACACTGATAGCATTGTATTACCTTCTTTTTAATTAGATGATTATGTCCTGAGGAGACTCCATGGCTGAAACATCTCTTAGCACATAACCTTTCTTTGCTTTTGTAATATCGTATGTGAATATACAGAAATTGGTAAGTTGGAGGCTTTAGAATAGTCACCACATCATTGTGGCTTGAAGACGTAGCTCATCCGTCAGGTTGAAGATGGGGGAGAGTCATGCAGCTGGTCATTACATCAGCTGCTGTCCATACTGGAGGATTTTGATTTTGCATATTGAAAGTAGTTGTTCCTTGTGGAGGAAGAATGGCACCTAGACTATTAAATCAATTCAGTTTAGCTTCTGCTGAAATATTCAAATTGAAGAAAGACTATTTTAGAGAATGGCTATTGAATGTAATTTTTCTGAGATCATGATAAAAATAAAAAGTCAATTCACATGTTTGGAGATAGTATGGTTGTGTTCTATGTAGTTCAGAACCGTCATTTGGAGCTAACCCCATAATTCCAGCTAACTTAGCTTCATTTCTTGGAGGAGTGTGGTACGAGGTTTTTTGCCACTCTTAATTTTCTGTAGAGATTGTAGAGTTCCATAAAAGCTGGCAATTTGAAGGCAACGAGAAGTCCTTGGAAGTAATTGTCTTCCTCCTGTTGGGATGCCGAGGGCCTTTACCATCACTCTCGCAGCTTTCTAGATGAGCACTGATGTGCCAGGGTTTAAAAGGCAACATTTCCTCTCTTTGTGGCCTAAAACTATGCAAATACTCACAAATTCATTCTCTCTCCAGGCTTTTATGTGTCTTTAACTGCACATTTCCTAGAGAATTGTATTTTAATAGTTATCGGATGGTTTCCCAGTTGACCCCACTCCATGGTATTTTAGGGGCAATAAAAATGCAATTCTTACATTTTAATTTATTCTAATTCTACACAGAGGAAGTTCTTAACTGATACATTTAAGTCAGGTTATAGGAATAGGACCTAAAAATAAAAGAATTCTAGTAATGAAACTGGTTTTCTTCCTAGTTAAGACCAGTTCATTTTCTACTCTGTGGCACATAGCTATAATTTCCAGTGACTATTTATGGTCTCTACGGCCCATCTCAACCCTCTTCTACCCCCTGCCCTTCATTTTCTTTAAATGTCAACAGAGTGCATGTTTTTCTATTTTGAGGAAATGTTCTCTCTCTCTCTCTCTCTCTCTCTCTCTCTCTCTCTTTCTCTCTCTTTCTCTCTCTGTGTGTGTGTGTGTGTGTGTGTGTGTGTGGTATGTGTGTGTGTGTGTGGTATGTATGTGTGTGTGTGTGTGTGTGGTATGTATGTGTGTGTGTGTGTGGTATGTATGTGTGTGTGTATGTGTGTGTGGTATGTATGTGTGTGTGTGTGGTATGTATGTGTGTGTGTGTGTGTGTGGTATGTATGTGTGTGTGTATGTGTGTGTGTGTGTATGTAGAACTGGAGTGTTAAGTTATCATGCAAGAGCTTAGAGTGCCAGTACTAGGGAGGGCTCCTAATAGAAGACTTCTTTTTTTTAAAAAAAAAATCTAAGATAAAAAGTAACTGTACCTAACATTACATAGTCTCCCTTTTAAAATTCTTCTTTCTCAACATATGTTAAAACGGTCCAGAACCCATGTTGAATGTTTAAACCAAGATGAATTTTTAAGTAATATTTTTATTAATTATCTGAAAACTGATGCAATATATCACTTCTCCAACTTCTTCCAGATCAACTGTCACCTCCCAACCCATCCAACTCTGTGTTCTCACCCTCATATTCTCCCGCCTCTTAACCCAAGGATTCCAATTTGTGTTTCCCAAATACTCTTGAAAGGGGCTGCCCTGGAACAAGGCTAGCCTACCACAGATCGCACCATTAAAGAAAACTGAGTGCTCCTCTCTGAATAGCTGTCAAATGCCAGCAACTCCTCAGCTAGGGGTGGGACATTATACCCCCCTGCCCCCTTCATGCTGTGTTTTTTTTTTTTCTGGCTTGAGCTTGCAAAAGTCGGATAGGTGCTGTCCCAATGGCTGTGAGTTCATGTATTCACCTGCCCTACTCTGTCTGGAAAGCATTTTTCCTATAGACACCCACCACCCCCATCTCTTACAGTCTCTCTGTCTCTCTTTCATGATGATCTCTGAGCCTGAAGGAAGAGGTGTGATTTGAATGTCTTATTTAGGGCTTGACACTTCTCTGCATATCAGACAAAGATGTTTTGCACCATGAGAATGGGGTGTTTCCTTATAGCAGATACCCACGGTGGGCAGGTAGAGATGTCCACAGACTTCATTGGTAACCCTGTGCCCTGAGTGCTCCGTGCCTAATAATTGTTCACCTGCATAGTCTGATGTCTTTTGAGTTGGAAAGGCTACTTATGAGAACAGAGCTATGGCACATTGTTTACCTACTTTGTTTTTTCTTTCTTTTTGGATGATTCGGAACCTCATTGCTGCAAGGATTCTCCATATGCGTCCTGAATTGAATTCCTGGAAGCCAGGATATTTTGTTCCTTTTCCTAAACCCAGCTCCTCCCTTTGCCTGTTTGTGTAGCTTCTGGGTTTTCTGAGTGATCAATGGACTTTGCTGCATTTTGTCTCTGCAGCCTGAGATTCTTGAATGCATCTGCAAACAAACTGGAAACTCTGCCTCCAGCCACACTCTCTGAGGAGACAAGCAGTATCTTGCAGGAGTTGTACTTGACAAACAACAGCCTCACCGATAAGTGTGTGCCCTTGTTAACGGGGCACCCACGTCTGAAGATCCTGCACATGGCCTATAACCGACTTCAGAGCTTCCCAGCAAGGTAACAGAGTTGTAAAGTTCTGAGGAGCTTTGCCTTTACCTTTCATTGTCTTGAGCTCAAGGCAATGTACGCGTGTCTTTGCTCTTCCTCATTTATAGCTGCCTTGTGTGTAAGCTGAACCAGTAAACATTCTGTTAGAACAACTGGACTGGCTTTTCTAGTATGAATGAGTAGTTCCAAAAACCAAACAACTAGAATGTTCTTAAGGTTTTCAGATAAGATAGGATCTTAATAGCCAGTTTTTTCATTGCTTCTCTTTAGCTAGTCAGTTTTATCTGATAAATAAAAAGCAAAAATACTAATGTGTTTAAGGGTTGGAATATGGGGGACTGGAGAGATGGTAACTGTTGCTCTCACAGAGAGTTCAGGTTTCCAGCACCCACATGATGGCTCACAATCATCCATAACTCCAGTCCCAGAGGATCCAGCACCCTCTTCTGACCTTCACAGGCACCATACATGTGGCACACACATATATATGCAGGCAAATGTTCTTACACATAAAATAAATATAAATTAATAAATTTCTTTTTAAAAATTGACAATCAAATCTTACCAAGGAATATTATTCGCTGGATATTGTAGTCAGTACTTCTAAGAATACATTTCTCTAGAGTGACAAATGAAAGCTTTTCTTTATTGATTGATTGAGAGAGAGAGAGAGAGAGGAAGAGAGAGAGAGAGGGGAGAGAGAGAGAGAGAGAGAAGGGAGAGACTGCCATTAAAGGTATGTGTCATTGCTGCCTAGTCTGTAAGGCTGGCCAGTGTGCCTATTTTTTTTTCTGATCTTCAGGCAAGCTTTATTTATTAAAATACAAATGAAATGTGCTGCACAAAAGCTGTACAAAATAACATTCCTTCTGCTACCCAGTGCTGCTTTTCAGTCTGTTGAAGCTTTTGCAGAAGGAAAGGAGATCCATGTATGTACTGACTTTGGATACTGCTTTAGTATTTGGTAATGTAGTTTTCATTCCCATTCCCCCCTCATTTGCTGTTGATGGTTAAACTGTTACTTCTATGCATTTTTGTACTTTACAGTGGAATACAAAGATAGTAATGTGCCTAAAGGGGCTCCTCTTGTCTGATTTTTGATGGTATCTGTGTGATTTCTGTGAAAACTGATCATTGACTCTGAGACTGTGCCTCCATTTACCCATGCCAGGTGTCAGTCACCCATCTGAAGTATACAAAAGAGTTTTATGTACTTGGTAAACTTAATCTTGCTATGATTTTCCTCCCATTGGGCTCTGTCTACTTTAGAGTAGACCCCTAACCAGACGATGGTGAACATATCTCTGCAATCAAACCATTGCCGAGTTACCTTCTTTCTGTGCTGAGAAATGAAAACTTTTCCTTTCTTGGGCCTAATTTACATTCCATTCATCATTCTTCTTGCCTCATTACCCATTGATTTCTTCATATTTCTTTTCAAATATAACGAACAGCATATTAAAATGATATATGAATTCCAGCTATCATAAATTAACTACTTCATACTCTATACTGTTATTTGTAGTATAACTACATTAGCCTGGTGGATGTGTTTGATATCAAAAGAGATGACTTCATAAGGAAACTTAGTCATTATATATGAGGCCTGTGCCTCTATCGAGACCAGAAAAATAGTCTTTAACAATTGAGAGTTTGCATAGCAATAGTGTTTTCTGAGGCATTTTTTAAATGTATTGGAACAAGTAGAATCATGAGTAGAAAAAAATGCCAGGAACTGTAAGGAACTCACAAATTTTCTCCCATCCTTAGTCACTTTTCACCAGGGTGGTAGATGGATCTAAGGAGTGGATACTGCCATGGTGAAGAACTTGCTCTGTCCTCCAGATTGACAGAGAAAGCATGGCACTCTGATTCTTGAAGTATTCCCTAGTTGCTAGGTTTAATTGTTTAAATTACAGTTGTTTGAGAAATAAAATATTTTAATATAAAATTAAACCATTAAACATGCATTAAAACATGTTACTAAAGCAAGGTTGAGGTGATCCATTTACATAGATGATGAAGTCACGGGAGTAGTTTGTTTTGCAGTCATCTTGACTTTAGGCTCTCCAGAACAGGAGGTGAATTGTGTTGTCTATAAACTTTGTAATTGTCAGCGGGGGCTGGGTCTGGGGACAGGCGTAGCGAATAAGAGCTTTGTAGTTTTCTCTGTATCCGCTTGAGTACTCATCTTCAACACAAAGAAGTCATACTTTCAGCCGCAGCTCAAAGCAGTTGTCGTGATTAATGTTAGTTTTTTAAGTTTAAGTAGGATTTCCACTGGAATTCAGACTAAGTTACATAGCAAAAAAAAAAAAAAATTAAGAAGAAAAGAACCTTCATTTTCCTTCTTATTGTCAGTTGAAGAGTTGAACTTAAGCTTTTGTTCTGTGAGAGGGAAGGAAGTGATAAATCATTTTGCTATTCAAAAGCAACATTGAAAAATGACCATTGTAAGTGAATCTTTAAAGTCATGAGTTCTTTTTGTCATTGCGTCTGTCCATTTAAACTGCCTTATAGTGAACTGATAATTCTTCCCTCCATTTCTCTTAGTAAAATGGCAAAACTGGAGGAGCTTGAAGAACTTGATATCAGTGGGAATAAACTGAAAGCCATCCCAACAACGATCCTGAATTGCAGGCGCATGCACACAGTGATCGCTCACTCCAACTGTATCGAAGTCTTTCCTGAAGTCATGCAGCTCCCAGAAGTCAAGGTTTGTGGGGATCGTGGACGCCAGGCTCCAAGTCAACAAAGAATTGGTTTCCCAAACGTGGGGGCTGTGCTGTAGTGGCTGTCTTGTATACCATGTAGGGTTGCACACCAGCATGGAGACTCCACATTTATCCTGTTTCTGCTTAATTTCTGTGCCTGGCTTAATATAATGCACCTCTTAGGTATAGATATTTCCTCTCTTGCTGTGGTGGTTTTGTTCGTTTGTGTGCTTGCATAGCTAAATTGTGTGAAGTCCTAATTTTCTTTCTTGCTTATGATAATTTTATTTATTTATTTTAATTTACCTATCATAATTTTATTTATTTACTTAATTTATTTTTACAACCCAATCCAAGTTCTCCCTCCTTCCTCTATTCACATTCCTCTTCCCCTACCCGCACCATGTATTGGGTGAGCAAAGTATCTCTTCGTAGAGAACAGGCTCCACAAAACCAGTTCATGCACTAGTGTTAGATCTTGATCCCACTGCCAGTGGCCCCACAGACTGTCCAAGCCCCACCATTCTCATTTGCATTCAAGGGGCCTAGTTTGGTCCTATGCAGGTTCCCCAGTTGTCAGTTTGGAATCAGTGAGCTCCCACTAGTTCGGGACAGCTGATTCTGTGGGTTTAGTCATCATGGTCTTGACCCCTTTGTTTATATTATCACTCCTCCCTCTCTTGAATTGTAGTCCAGGAGTTTGGCCCAGTGGTTACTTGTGGATCTCTGGATCTGCTTCAGTCACTTTCTGGATGAGGGACCTATGATGTCAATTAAGGTAGTCCTCAGTATGATTACAGGGGAAGATCAGTTCAAGCACTCTCTCCACTATTGCTTAGATTCTTAGCCGTGGTCATCTTTGTGGATTCCTGGGAATTTCCCTAGTGCTAAATTTCACGCTAATCCCAGAATGGCTTCTGCAATCAAGATATCTCTTTCCTTGCTCTCCCTCTCCTTCTCTGTCCTTCTCCCAACTCAACCTTCCAGAGCCCTCCTGTTCTCCTTCCGCTTCTCCCCTCCCACCTCCACTTTCATTATCCCCCCTCCCACCATGCTCTCAATTTACTCAGGAGATCTTGTCTAATTTGCCGTTCCAGGGTGATCCATATATGTCTTTCTTAGGGTCCTCTTTGATACCTAGTTTCTCTAGGGTTGTGGACTGGTTGTCCTTTGCTTTATGGCTGATATTCTCTTAGAGTGAGTGCATACTATATTTGTCTTTCTGCGTCTAGGTTACCTTACTCATGATAGCTTTTTCCAATTCCATCCATTTGCCTGCAAGTTTCAAGATGTCATGTTTTTTGGTTTGTTTTTTTTTAAACCCCTGAGTAGTATTTCATTGTGTAAATGTACCACATTTTCTTTATTCATTCTTTGGTTGAAGGATATCTAGGCTGCTTAAACTCTCATCAGTATTTTTTATCTTAGCCTTCTGATCAATGCAAGATATGTCAGAGTTGTTTAGATTTGCATTTCTCTGATGGCTAAGGATGCTGAGCATTTCTTTCAGCCTTTTGAGATTTTTTTTATATTTTTTTTATTATTATTCTCTGTTTAGATCTCTACCCCATGTTTTCATTGGATTATTTGCCTAGAGGCCTGGCTCACTGGTAACTCTAGACTCTGTTAGATTGTCAGTTCACACTGACTGTCATGATGTAGCCCCTGAAGAGGTAAGAAGAGAAGGAATTAGAAATGGGTCCATGCCTAGGCCATTGGTGGCTGACATATCAAGAAACCAAGGTGCATGTGAAGCTGGTTCTCTGTCCTTCCCTTTGGGGCCCCGGAGCTGCATAGAGGCCGCAGAGTAATGTAGTCACTTTCAGTAATCTTCGTGGGAATTTATTCTACACAAGTGAAATGGGTTTTCGCCAATGGGACTTGGTCAGTGCAGCTTGTATGTGGGAGTTCAGCACCACATCTTCAGATCCTGTGTGTCAGGTCTCATGGTTTGTGATGACTCTTGAATGTGGCTTCCTGCGTTCTCTTCGTAAGTTACTCTGACATGCTGTAAGCTCATTCCCAAGTGATGGACTCTAGATTATTTTTAATCAGTGGCTTTAAGAAGCTGTAAATAGACTTTCCTCCCAATATAGATCACCTCTTAATCAGCAAGGGAGGAATACTACCTCAGAACCAGCAGTGTGGTTCAGCCTGGCTCCGCTATGCCCACCAAGCCTGTTAGGCGTTCTTGTCACAAGTGTGCAGTTAAAAAGCTCATGCTTAGTTGTGAAGATCTCCAGAATGTGGTGAGAAGGCTGGGTTAAGTGGCCGGAGCAAGAGAATTGGTTCTTCAGAACACGAGGTGATGGAAAGAAAGCAGCTGGGTAAAGGTGCAAGTGGGTAGAGTAGTTGAGCTCATAGATTTGAAGTCAGGGCAGCTTCTGTAATGTACATATAGCAGCAGAGACAGAAACCAGCATCCGAGTCCTGGAATCAGATTCAGCAATAGGCATTTAGGAAATGTTCTGAAAACCAGGGAATCTGATGTCACCTCTCATTTGGGGCAGAGCATCTTCAAAGGACTCAGGAAGAAGCTGCAAGCAGGAAAGAAGGCCTTTAAAGCCACTTTGTTCTGACCTCCACAGGAACAGACCAGCAGTGAGCTCGGGTTACGCATTCTCGCACCTATAAAATTATGGCACTCTGACTGTCTATGTTTCCATCTGTTTTTAAACTCTAGTTTCTCCAGATGCTTCTGAATTCAAGACTATGTCCTTTTCTACAAGACCATGTCTCACCTTACAGAGCAGATAAGAACAGGGCCAGTGCTAGCTCCTGTCCTTACTCAGCGGCTGCTTACAGATGCCCTTGTACAAAGTGATGCACTGTGACTGGTCCTCAGATGCAGCCCTGAGATGGCCTCTTTTGCCTGTGGGTGAGGGCAGTGAGCTTCTACTCTGAGGAATGTGGAAGACAGCATGGGGTGTCCTCGTAACTTCAGGTCTTTTCAGCCAAAAATCTCATGCTTGTTTTGTGTTTTATTATTTTTTATACCATTTTGCTTTTCTTCACTGTGAAAATCTTTGGTCTTCTTTATAGGGTAACCGAAGCTATAGAAACATGTGCCAGGCACCCTATAACAGACCTATAGCCATTATTAAAAAGCATCAACACTAGGAAATTGATCCATTAACACAGGATGCATTTTATTCAATTCAAATTTTGCAATTGATTCCATATATCAGGAAATCCAGTATTTGGAGGAATTGAATGCTGTTTGGGAGCATATGAACGTTTAGGAGATAAATATATACTATGTTATAGTATGAATTCTTGTAACTAAATCCAAAATCTATTTGAAAAAAAATCAGTATACTTAGTACATGTCAATTTAGAAGGAAGATTAACTGGGCGGTGGTGGTGAACAACTTTAATCCTAGCACTCGGGAGGCAGAGGTAGGTGGGATCCCTGTGAGTTCCAGGCCAGCTTGGTCTACAGGGCAAGTTCCAGACCAGTGTCCAAAGCTACAGAGAAACTCTTTCTCAAAAAAAAATGTTAATTGCATTTGACTAATTATATCCAAGTGCAACTTTATATAGAGAAGCAGGTCTATACTTTGACTTCTGTGCTTCCACATAGGCTAGGATTGTTCAATCAGGTGGTACCTTACTTCTAGCCAGTTATCTCTCTCCTCTTAGACATTGTTTTTCTGTAGAGTTTTTTCTCCCCAGTAAAATCTCTATAATGTAGACCGGTAGTTCTCAACCTTCCTAATGCTGCAACCCTTTAATATAGTTCCTCATGTGACCCCAACCATAAAATTATTTTTGCTTCTATTTCATAACTGTAATTTTGCTACTGTTATGAATTGTAATGCAAACAACTAACATTCCTGATGGTCTTAGGTGACCCTTAAAGGGTCTTCCAGTGCCCCCGAAGTTGAGAACCACTGATCGCGACCTTGATTCTAACTCAAACTGACAAGCATTTCTGTGGTGTCTTCCAAATTCAAGGTATTTGTACTCACCTGTAAGTCAGGAGGTGTAGGATGTCAGAGAAGGGTTTTCTGCAAACTTGTTCCTGTTCTGGCCAGTTCTTCCTCCCAAGGACCGGCTATTATCACTCCCTGAATCACTGTGCAATCTTCCAGGGTTGACTTTTTCTTCTGTGTTCTTGCATTACTAATCATTTTCTACATTTCTGGTGCAAGTTCAATGGATGAATTTTTTATTAAATTTTTTTCATATAATATATTTTGATTATGCGCTCCCCCAGCTCCTCCAAGTTCTACTCCTCTACCTAGCTAGCTTTATTCTCTCACTCTCTTTCAAACAAAAAATAAAAAATAAGAAACAAAGAGACAACAAAGAAGTAAATAATGAAAAATCCTGTAAGAACAAAAATCAAAGCAGGCAAAAGACCAGTAAGACAAAAAAATGCCACAACAAAGCAAAACTACCATTGAGTTTGTTTTTGTAGGCCAACTACCTCTGGACACATGCCCTTCCCTGGAGTGTTGTAGTGAGGAGGCAAGCAGGCCTGCTTTTCATCACGCCCAGCTCCCGCACGGCTAGCTTTACACCCGAGATAACAACACACAATTGTATTCATTTAAACACTGCCTGGCCCATTAGCTCTAGCCTCTTACTAGCTAACTCTCACATCTCAATTAACCCGTTTCTATTAATGTGTGTAGTACCACAAGGCGGTGACTTACCAGGAAGATTCTAACCTACGTTCGTCCATCTTGGGCCGGAGCTTCATGGCGTCTGCCTGCCTCTGCTTTCTTTCTCCCACAGTTCTGTTCTGTCTTCCCCACCTACCTATGTTCTGACCTATCAGGCCAAGCAGTTTTCTTTATTAATTAACCAGTGAAAACAACAGATAGATAGAAGACCCTCTTACATCAGAGTGTGGTTAATATACCCTGGACAGTCCATTAGAGAAAGTGGATGTTTCCTTTGACAACAGGTGTATCACTTGCAAACAGTTTCTTGGGTAGCAGTGGGACCTGATGTCCACTTCTCACTATCAGTACTGGGATGCCATCTGGCTTCAACCTGTACAGGTCTTGTGCCTGATGCCACAGTCTCTGTGAGTTCATATGTTATCAGTCATGTTGGGTCTGAAAAACAGTTTCCTTGGAGTCATCTGTCTACTCTGCCCCTTGTAGTCTCTCCACCTACTATTCTGCATAGCTCCCTGAGCCCTGAGGTGAAGGATTTAATGAAGACATCCATCCCCTTTAGGACTGAGTACTCCAAAGTCTCTCACTCTCTGCACATTGTACAGTTGTGGCTCTCCATGCTTAAATCCCATCTGCAGCAAGAAGCTTCTCTGATGTCAGTTGAGTGAGGCTCTGCTCTATGTGCATAGTAGTGTATACATATGAGAGATATATATGGGACACTGCTCTATGGCTATAGCAGTGTATATATATGGTATATATGAGGCACTGCGCTATAGGTATAGCAGTATATACATATGATACATAGTTATGTCATCAGAAGTCATCTTACTGCTGTGTTCTTTTAGCGAAATAATAATCATAGGCTTTCCCCCAGGCTGGCTTGCTATCTGATTTCAGGTATTGACCACTTAAGCAGTGTCAGGTAAAGATTCCATCTCATGGAGTGGGCCTTAGATCCAATAAAAAAAGTGGTTGGCTACTCCTCCTTTGTCCACTGTTGCACCAGTATCTATGCAGGCAGGTTCCTTTTGTAGATCTCAGGGTTTGTAGCTGGGTGGTACTGATTACCTTTCTCCTCCAGTAGCATGCAGAGTACCTTAATTACCATGAATACTAATCAGTAGAAGCTTTTAGCATCTCTTGTGTTTGATGACATTTTCTTCAGCAATAGCAACTTAGTATCAAGTTGTGAAAAGTAATCAATAGTCTATGATATTTAGGGTTCCTTGGACACCTTTGGCCAATAGACTCAAAAAGATGTAGTCAGTTCCTGTCACTTGAGGTTTCACTTAGTGGCATAAGATGTTTGGTTGCAGCATTGTCTACCCTATTATTTGGTGACTCCATTAGATTTCTTTCATATTTGTATATATTTAGAAGGCTTCTGTAGTACTAGGTTTCCATATGGCTTTTCAAATGCACTTTGATGTTAGTTGTCCCTTCCCACATTCCCTCCTTTACCCTTCTTTCTGTCCCCCTCCCTCATTTAACTCTCCCATCTTAGTTTCCCTTTTACCTTTTTTAAAGTACTATGCTCTTACTTCCCGTTCCTTGGAAGCTTTCCTCCTCTAAACTGGTCCCTTCCTAGGTACCTAATCTCTGTAGTTACTTGGATTGAAGCACAGACATCTAAAGCTTAAAAGCTAACATCCACATGTAAGAGAAAACATACAACATTTGCCTTTTGAGGTCTGGGTTACTTACCTCAGGGTGACTTTTTCTAGCTCCATTCATTTACCTAAAATTTCATAATTTCCTTTTTCTTAACAACTGAATAATTTTCCATTGTGTAAATGTACAATATTTTCATAATTGTTCATCAGTTGATGGATATCTAGGCTATTTCTAGTTTCTGGCAATTATGAATAGAGCAGCAATGAACATGGATGTGCAGGTGTCTCGGTAGTAGGATGTATAGGTCTTTGGGTATATGCCCTAGACTGGTATAGCCGATCGTGAGGTGATCTGTTCCAGGCTCCCTGAGGAACTGACAGGCTTATTTACATTATAGCTGTAGCAGTTTGCAGTCCCAACCATGAGTAGATGTTCTTCCCCATACCCTTACTTCATGAGCCAGCTTTTGTTTTCGCTGACCATTCTGAATGGTATAAGATCTTAAATTAGTTTGGGTTTGCATTTCCCTGAGGGCTAAGAATGTCAAACATTTCTTGAAGTCTTCCTCAACCGTTTGTGTTTTATCTTTTGAAAGCTGTTTAGTCCTATTCCCCATTTTCAAATTTGTTATTTATTTTCTTTATGTCCAGGTTTGTTTTTGTTTTTAGAGTTCTGTGTCTTCCTCTTCTTTTCTTTTGCCTTGAGAAGGTCCTTGGAGTTCATGTTAATGTTGGAATTGTAGTCCTGAAGGCCCAAACAGGCACAGATATAAGTCATGGGAAATTGTTGGTTTTTGTTTTGTTTTTTTTTTTTTGTTTGTTTGTTTGTTTTTGGGTTTTTTGCAATTAATGCTTTATCTTAAATGCAGAGCTAGACTTCAATGGAAAAGATTAATGGTAGAGTCAAAGAAAGTGAAAAGAATTTATGTAGCCAAATCCTTAAATGAGTGAGGCACAGTGGCAGAGCTGCCCTTGTCGTGGGCAGTGCTCGTCTGCAGCCTCTCCAGATCACCTTGTTTCTGTTGTTCCGGCAGTGTGTAGATCTAAGCTGTAATGAGCTGAGCGAAATCACGTTACCAGAAAACCTGCCACCTAAACTGCAAGAGCTAGACTTGACTGGTAACCCTCGCCTTGCCCTGGACCACAAAAGCCTGGAGCTGCTGAAGTGAGTATTTACAAAGCACTGAGGCCTCTCAAGTGTTCACTAGTAGTGGAATTTACAACTTGATAAATATTTGAAACAGGAAGATTCTTTTGACTTAGTAGCCATATACAGAGCTGGACAGAACACTGAAGGATGGTATTATTCAAGATGGGAACATAAATCCCGATGGTTCCTGGTTACATGATTGTGACACCTAATGCAGATGTAACCAAAAGATTTTGAACCAGGTAGGTGATGTGAAGGAAGCTGTTACAAACTCAAATCTGGATTCTCTGAGGAAAAGAAAATGGGAAGTGTGGGATAGTTACAGTTAGGTCCTGCAGAAGTTTTCTTCCCTTTGAAAGAGTTAATGGCAAATGTTGATAAAGTGTAATGAGTTGAAGTATAAAGTAGCATCAGTAGAAAAGGTGCCACTGTGTGAATATTCATCACAGAACTCCATATATTTATGATATAATTATATTGGCTTTACAAATATAACCATTAACACTCTGATATCAAGCTGTAGTAGTAATCAGATGGGTCTTTACAATATAGTATTAAACAAAAAAACTTCCAAAAACTTTGTACACACATCATCCCATGTTTTGCAAATTAAACATGTGTGCATTGTACATGTGACTATCTGCATATACCTGAAACACACCCTAAAGGATAGGTAACAAATAGTAAGAGTATTCTCCTGTAAGGTGTAGGATTATGTGAGTGGTGGCCCAGTGTAGTTATTATTTCTGCCATATGTTCCTATACACTGATGGGTGGGGTTTTTTCATAAGTCATCTGCCATATTTTAGGAGAAAGCTGAAAAGATAAGAATTTGGGGAATGATTTTAATATATTTGTAAACTATAGATTTATTTTTTATGTCAGAAAGGATTAAGAAAGTCTCAATAAAAGAAGTCAGTATATGTAGACCAGTGTACACACACACATGCTTATATTAATTTCTACAACTACTAAAAGTAAATCTAAAAGACAGATGACAGTTGGGAAGAAATACTGGAAAAACTAAAGCATTAGTGCTGTTAGCAGAAATCATTCTTATATGCCTGGAAGAAATACTCCTTTTGGACTGGAGAGATAGTTCAATGGTCAAGAGTGTATGTTCTTACAGAGGACTCCAGCTCCAGGGATCCAGTGACCTCTTATGTTCTAAGAAGTTACCTGAATATACTGCATGTGCACATACACAAAATTAATTCTAATTAATTTACTTCTAATTCAAATAGAAAATGAACCACGGACATTCAAATTTTTTAAAAAAGAATTATACCCATGCACAAAAAGATGTTCAAGCTTATTAGTATATCAAGAAAGAAGTACTCAGACAATTCAGACTGACTCTTTAAGAGCACCTGGTCTTCTTTAGTACAGCTTTCTTTAAAAGTGACTGACCCATCCTGTATGTCTTTCAAACACTTGCTTAGGTCATTGCTCTGAATACTAAAACTTTGCTTTCCTAATTTTCTCTCCTTTTTCTTCTTTACTCCCAACCTCCAACTTCTCCCCCAGTTCCTTCCAGACATAATCCTACCTCATAATCCCTTGACGTTTTTGAAGTATAAATGACCTGTCCACTCTATACTCTTAGGTGTGGGGTATAATATGAAGGAGTCCTACTTGTTTGTGTTTTCTTTCCTGCCTGCTACCCCACAGCCGGCAAGCCCTAAGGAAAATCACACAGAGGACTTCGTAAGTTATAAAGCTGATTGACCCATTAGGTCAGGCTACTTATTAGCTCTCGTAGCTTATATTAACCCATTATTCTGATCTATGTTTGCCATATGGCTCAGTACCTTTTTCAGTGTGACAGATCACATCCTGCTGCTTTGGAAGTCTGGGCAGGAATGGGCGGAATCAGCTTCTTCCTTCCCAGAATTCTCCAGTTCTCATTGCATCATTTCTACTTCCTGTCTGGTTTTCCTGCCTATACTTCCTGCCTGGCCAATCAGCGTTTATTTAAAATATGATTGACAGTTTACAGACAATTCTTCCACACCAGTGGGGCCATCCACTAGAATGTGATCAGCCTACCACACTCTCAAAGAAAACTAACCCTATCCCCTAGAAGTCATCAACTGTTCATTGATCCTCAGTTCAAATGAGATAATTACCAGGGTAGTTCCAGTAATATTTGGAACAAATATAAAATAACTTGAAAATATCTGTGACATAATTATAAAAATATGCTGAACCACCATAAATGATAGATGCATGATAGATAGGTAGGTAGATAGACAGACAGGTCACAGATGATAGGTAGGTAGATGACAGATAGATTGCTGACAGATAAATGATCCCACAGTAATATTTGCATGAACAAAAACTGTTAAAGTCTCTGCAGTTAGCATGTGTTACTGGAGAGACTGACCTGTGGTGAAGGTGTTGTGCTCTCAGAGTTAAAAAATAATTAGTAAAGATGAATCATAATACTGAAAATGTTGCCTTCTGGTTAGTGTCACAGAGACTGTGTCTTCTTACTAACTGGAGCCTCTCTACACATTACTGTGGTTGGGAATTGATGGGCTTGTTCTGTGGGAACTAGAGTGAGTGAGTACAGGAGCTCTTCTGTGGCCCCAGGTCTTAGGCTCAGTCCCATTCCAGTTGGCAAGATGTTAGGAGTTCATGCTGCCATCTTTTAGGCGACTGTTGAGTTACTTAGTTAAGCTAGAGTGATGAGTGCTTCATTACAAAGGATTGTTGAACAAGGCAGAGACATTGACTTTTTTTCCTGTAACAATTGGAAAATGGAATTATTTCTCTGAAAATTTTTTGGCCTGTAAAGTCTTTGAAAACGGACCATCAGCTGTCCTTAGAATCAGGAATGTGGCAGAGGTGTGTGACAGATGGAGACAGGAACATGATAATATTTTAAAGGGAGAAAATATAATATAGCATCTATGGAGAGCACATGCCTGTTGGTGGAAGTTTCTGTCCTTCAAGCCACTCTCAAGTAACCACACAGAGGCGTAATATTAATTATAAATGCTTAACCAATAGCTCAAGTTTATTACTAGCTACCTCTTACATTTAGGTTGACCCATATTTCTTATCTACACTTTGCTGCATGGTTTGATGCCTTTTCTAAGTATAGCATGCCCATCTAGCTTCTCTCTGTATCTGCTCCTGACTCCTGACTCCACCCTTCTTTCTCACAGCACTCTCAGTTTGGCTGTTCCACCCAACCTTATTCTATTCAGCTATTGGCCAGTCACCTTCTTCATTAAGCTAGTCATAGAACATATATTCACATAGTGTAAAGGAATAGTCCACATTTCTCCCATTTTGTATAATTAAAAAATAAGATATTTTTAATATATAGCAAAACAGATATTAAGAATTACAGTTATAATATTCAGTCCATTTATATTTGACTAGTTTAGAGAAACTACTCTGTAATTTATCTTATCTTTGCGACACTAAAGTTTTATACCTAATTTACATTTGATTGTAACTAAGGGATACTTTGACTATCTAATCTTCAGCTCTGTCAAAGACCCCAAAAAGAGTGAAATGTAAGCTAATGACAGGGACATCTGGTGCCATTGACAGTTACCCTGGGTTCTTCCATAATGTTGGATCATCCAATTTTGGCTTGTGACCGACATTTCTGAGAAGCAGGGAATTTTGAAGGACTGTCCTACCTTGTATTGGCAAAGTTCAGCATTTTCCTTTTTTATGTCCTGCTGGTCCAGTTTGGACAGTCAACAAAACAGCAAGGACAGTTTTTTGCCCAAATAACTAGCTTTTGCCATTAAGAAAATAAACTCCATACTATGTTTCTTTAATGCCCATCATTTTCTTTGAAGTATATTGGCACTGTCAGGAGCAGACTTGACTCACTGTCATGAAAAGCCTTAGGTTGTTGAAAATATTAAATGCCATATTCTGTAGGTCTTTGAAGTATTTGAAGACCATCTATCTAAATATATCTGTCTATGATGTTGAAAGCATACCTGACATGACTATAATTTGATATTATAGATGACTGTTAGTCTGTATTTCTTTATTATATACTACATTTTTAAATGAACTGCGTAAACTCAATACCCTAAACAAGAGTAGAAATATACATACATTATAACAAAATTAACCTTAAATTTGTATCAATAAACCAAAATCCATACAGATGTAAATTTAAGATTAATAGTTGTTTTTTTGGATTCAAGTCAATAATCTACCCCTTTATCTCATCATTTCTATGTCATATCCCCCTTGCTTCCTTTAGAAAGAGATCGTTGAATGTAACTCTATAGCTTAGTTTTTTTTAACTAAGACAAATAACAATTTGTAACTAAACCTCCTTAAATAATAAACACCCATAACCCATCTTTTGGACACGTGGGCCTTGTTCTCTAGACTACTTGTCTGTGGGCAGTAGTGTCTTTGGGGGAACCTTCAGAAAATTGGGATAATAATGAATTCCTGGCTAGAGCAGTCTGTAAGGTTGGACCATCTCAGCCAGCAGCCTTGAAGCTGTTTTGGATGCAGAATTTTGAGAAGACTGTAAAAGAGGCATTGTGAAATGCAAGGTCCCCTGAGCCTCAGTTTTCACTGCTGTTTGGTCCCCTTGTTCTGAAAATACATAAACTTTTACAGGTAGCAAACATTTATGTCTTATTATAAGTATAGACTGTGCATTGTACACAAGTCAGCCAAAATTGTTTTTTGTTTTATATTTGAGCCTAAAATATACATCATGTGTCTTGCTCTTCTAGGTTTATTTCTTTATGTTTGTAGCTAGGATTTTCAGTGGGTCTTCCTCAATCAAACCTGATCATCATTAATTTTAAATGAATCCACAGACTTTCATTTCCTGTGGATATGTAAGCATAATCCTTTCCCCAACGTATGTTTTAACTTCCATTTTGAAGTCAAGACATTTTTAAATTATATAGGTTGGTCTAATCCAGCAACTCTTATAATCCAGTGTCTCTTAGGAGCTATTGCTCCTTCCTCAGCAGTCAAAAAATTTAAAGACAAAACAATAACATACAGTATCTAGACTCTGTGTATTTTTATTTTTACGTGACTTTTTTCTTTTATATTGCTTACTCCCTTTTTAAGGACTTGAGTATTTTAAAACTGTATTTTTTAATCTATGGCTGTATTTACTCTTTCTTTTCTCTCTCCCAAGCTTATGTGTGTTTGTAAACACACTTTAACCTGTTAGAGGGTTTTTTGTCTGAATCTGTCATTATTGTATATCTGTAATCCTTTTCTAACTCCATGAGCCCTTATACTGTTAAGTGGCCTTAGCCTCTGTTTTGCCAACTAGCCCTCTCTCAGGTAATTGCCAGAAGACACTTTTCTGTAATACAGTTGGCATGAAAGACTGTGGGAACCCACCATGTGGCTAATCCCATGGTGCTGGAGCCAGGAGGCGCATCCCTGTGCTATGGCCAGCATGAGAGACACAAGACTAGGAAGCTACTCTTTCCTCCAATTCTGTGTGTCTAGAACTCTTTCCCAAGCTCTTTCGGGTTTTATGTGGATGTAGTTGCCTAACATTTGGGTGCCATTTGTTGTCAAAAGTGTCTGTCTCATAACATACTCCCAAGTGGCCATACAAAGGTTTAACATTAATTATAAATGCTCATCCAATAACTCAGGCTTGTTACTAGCTAACTCTTACATTTAAGTTAACCCATATTTTTTATTTATGCTTTGTCATGTGGCTTAGTACCTTTTCTCAGAGTGGCATGCCCATCTTTCTCTGTGCATTTTCTTGTGACTCTTGACTCCCTTTTGGAATCTTGTGACCTTTCTCCCTCCCAGCATTCCCAGTTTGGCTTTCCTGCCTAGCCTTATTCTGTTCAGCTATATTGGTTAGTCAGCTTCTTTATTAAACCAATTACAGTGGCATATATTCACACGGTGTAAATGAATTTTCCACAATTGCTTTTCTTTTATTGATAAGATCAAAACAGTTGAAAAGATGACTTAATAGCCTACTATGAAATTTAGAATTAATTTTATTAATACCACCTATGTTTTCCAAGTGAGAAAGTGAATAGCTAGTAATTGAGAGTATACTCGTGTTTGGGGGGGTGTGGATGTGGGGGTGTGTGTGGGTGTGCACACCTGAACATGTGCTCAGATGACCTGCTTTGCCACTCTCTGATGTGTGTGTGTGTGTGTGTGTGTGTGTGTGTGTGTGTGTGTGTTGGGGGCATGTGCACACCTGAACATATGCTCAGATGACCTCTGCCACACTCATTGAAACTGTAGTTAGGCTGGCATCCAGAAAGCCCCAGAAATCCTCCTATCTCTAGCCCCCTTACCAAACCAGTACAGGGTTACAGATGCTCACAGCCATGCCTGGCCTTTTATGTTTAGTTTTATTTAAGTATGTAATATTCATGTTCATGTGTGTTCATGTGCACTTGGAAACCAGAGGTCAACCTCCTTCCTCAAGAGCCATCCACTTTGTTTCTTGAGACAGAGTCTAGGGCTCACCATTAGGCTAGGCTGACTGACCAGGGATCTTGTCTCTGCCTCCTCAATGTTGGGATTACAACTGTTTATGCAGATACTGAGGTCAAAGTCAGGTTCTCAAGCTTGTACTACTACTTTACCAACTAAACCATCTCACTGTTTTCCCAAGTTGTGTTTATGCATGCCAAGACTGAGGGAAGAGTGGACTTGTAGCATACAGTCTGCCAGTCTCTAATTGCTGCTCTAGTGTCACCGTGAAAACTACTCCTTATGCCAGGTGTGTGCCCTTGTTCTCACTGTTAACTTAAAGCCCTGAGGAGCAGGTTCTTGATGCCGATAATACTTCATTCACAGTAGACGCAGCAGAGACTACGGTAAGAGGAAAGTGCCTAACAGTTTTCACTTCTTAGGCAAAGGTGAAAGTTCATACTCCTCTGTTCCTAATCATTCCTGCTGCCTTTTCTCTCCTTAGTAACATCCGCTGCTTCAAGATTGACCAACCTTCAGCAGGAGATGCATCTGGAGCCCCAGCAGTATGGAGTCATGGTTACACTGAAGCATCAGGAGTGAAAAACAAGTATGTTGAGTAGAACTTAGAACCAAAAATGCCTGTGTCTGCTTCCTTCCTTGGGTAGGAGACCTGGTGGCACATATCCTTTTCTACTGTGTTTCTTAGTGTGTGTTTCTCCAGAATGAAGTTCACTCCTCACTGTTTAAACACCAGGCTGGGTACCTGCGCGGCATCACATACTCTTATTTTATGAAAGATGTTGATAGGATATGATGTAACTGACACATATCTATGTAAGACTCCAGTGTTAGCAAAAGGCCTGAGTATTGAAATGTATCTCTCCTCCTTTGAAAAGCCCCTTTATCATTCTGGAAGCCTGTTTACAAGAGAGAAGTAGCTAATTGTGTATACTCAAGATTACTTAGACTGCTGACTGAAATATGCTCGGAACTACACTAGCTTGGCAGCCTTGGTTCTTGATACCCTGTTGCGTCATCTGCTTCTCTTGCCACCAGTAGTAGTTCATTGGAATTTCTTTTTCTATCCTACTTCACCAGTCACTCCTCTCTCCAGTACAAATGTGGATTTTCCCGAGATATAGTCAAGCTAATCAGACTTACTTATTTGTATGAGGAGGTACTGATGACTAGGAAAGCAAAGCCTCCTACAAACTAGAGTAGTCGTAATTTCTTTGGCAAAGATATAAGAACATTGTTGAGAAGAGTGAATGAATAGAACGTGGAAAATGATTCAGTAATAAGCTCATTAAATCTGGGTATAGTTTGAACCAATCAGATAAAACAACAACATTCCCATCCAGGTCTGTAATCCCCAAACTCAGAAGGTGGAGGCAGGGGAACTGAAAAAAATGAACAGACACAAACACCTTCACACCTGCCTCATCACTACCCTAGACCCACTTAATCAGAAAGTTTTAGAGTTTCCAGAGGTATTTCTGAAGTGTCGACACCTGAAAACCACAGGCTTTGAGTGTTCTTCATGGAGCGTGAGAGTGGGGCTGTGCTGCCATGCCGAGTCCTTATCTGGGCATAGGAAGGCCATGGGTCCCTTCCTGCTTACCTGTCGGGAGACTTAGCAGAACACCTAGCAGCCTCTGTTCTGCCTGGGCTCTGGCTCTTCTCACTTAGTGCTATCATTGTATTAGATTGACATATTCTTCAGGACACTTGGGGTGCCTCTGTGGAAGCAGTTACATGTTAGACGAGAGAAACTGTCTTACAAATTCCAGGACGAGGTTGCTTTCTAATTCCAAGACATTTATCATCTACCTGTTTATGTGAGTTAAACAAACAACAATTAATCCTGGTTTTCCTGCATATTATTTTTAACTTAAGGTTGAGAAAAGTATGTAATTGACAAATGTACTGGCCTGTGAGCTACTAGAGTGAACATACCTGCAGACTGCCAGCTGAATCAAAAAAGAGAAAGTAGACAACAACCCCCAAACCTCATTTTATTTACCTCCTTTTGACTCTTTGACGCTGCTAGGACTGTGTTTAGGGGCATTATTTTGAGGGTTTCTTTTTAATTGGATATTTTTTTTAGATGTTCCATGTATGTTATTCCCTTACAAATGAACTAGTCCTTTGAGCCAGGAGCCAGCTGCCTGCTTCCTCAGGGACAGGGAGCATCTCAGTCTCTCCTTGTCTCCATGTGGAAGATGCTTTCTTCTTGTATTGCCTCAGATCCTCAGAACCCAAGTAAGAAGCTGCACTTGAATATTTTGGGTCCTTCTCAGACCAGAGAACATGAAAAGCTTCTATAGAAAAGGAATCTGAGGGACCCCCCCCCGTACTTAAAAAACTATATCACTCCATCAAATGGAGGAAAATAGAATTTTAAGATGATTATAAAATTGAACTTTATTTATTGAAGGTCTCTGAAAGAGTTGAAGAATACCTATTTAACTGAAATATATCTCTATACATTAGAAAATCTAACTAACATGGCTACAAACTTTTATAGATTACTATCTATTAACTTATATTTTTAAATTTTACATTATATTTTTAAATGAGCTACACAAACACAATACCTTATTCAAGATCAGAAATACATATACATATAACAAAATTGACCTTAAATTTGTATCAATAAACCAAGATCCATATCAGTACAAGTTATTTGTATCTATATTATACCCCCTTTGAATGTAAACAAACATTTATAGACAATATTTGAGAATATGGGTGTAGTTTTGTCTATACTGTTTCCTGCTGATTGGGAACACTGTTAATTAGATCTTTATGGTGTATCCTATATGCTAGGTTCATCTCAGTCAGCAGTTGGGTGAAGTAATTTTTTGAGAGTGTTTATGGCGACCTTTCAGGGGTGGGGGTTCTTGGTCTATCATACCACACCAGTCTGGAAGAAATCCACAGGTTCTCATCCTCTGTGGAAACGAGAAGAACCTCTTTTCCAAAGCAACATATCCTTAGACTCAAATTTTAAAGTCAAGATATCTTTATAATATACATGCTGGTTTAGTTTAGCAGCCCATACAATGAAATGGCTCTCTGTATTTAGCTCCTTTACAGTCAAAAAAGTCAAAGAAAGCACAATAATATACAGAATTCAGACTTTCTGTGTATATTTCATCTTTACGTGGCTTATTTTTCTCTTTTTAAAACAATTTACTTTTTTTAACTCTCTTTACTCTTTTTCTTCTCTCTCCCAAGCCTACGTACATTTATGCAACACTGTGATCCATTTAGAGATCTTTTATGTCTGAATCTGTCCTTATTGCATTATCTGTAATTCTTTACTGTCTTGAAGAGCTTTTAAAGTGGTCAGCAGCTTGGTTGCAGCTACTCTGAATGCTGGCTCTACCTCTCTCCACTTTCAAACTGGTGGGTGTACCATTGCTGCCAGGTCTTGCACTCAACCTGGAAATATCTCTGTGTATGGCAGCAGGAATCTGCCATGCTCTCCTGCCTGTGTAAGCCTAGTAGATCTGATCCCACTGTCTGAAACCAATAAAAGCAACACATAGACAGAAGGACCTCCCACGCCATATGGCCACATATATGGGGCCTGCACAGGTTCAAACCTCTCAGGTTTCACCTGAGAGGGTGAAGTGGACACAGACTCCCACCCTTAACCAAGAAGCTATCTGCAGTTGATACTCACTTGCCAAGAAAATACTAGTTTTCTCTAATGGGGTCTCAATGGGGATATTAACTACACTTCAAGGTAGACTCCCATGACCAGGAATGGTTGGTCAATACAAAATGAACTCAATGATATTTTTGTTTTAAAAAAATAACATATGTATCTTGTGACTGTAGCTGTGTGGGTTTATTTCTGGGTCCGATATTCTGTTCCTTTGTTTCGTGTTTCTGTTTTTTATCAAGACTTTGCTGTTTATCCTACAATAATTAGTTGGGTACTACAATTTTTAACTCAGCATTGTTCATTTGTCCAGGATTGCATAATCTATCCAGGGTCTTTTGTACTGGTATATGAATTTCAAGATTGTTTACTCCAGTTCTATAAAGAATGCTTGGAATGTTGATGGGGATTACATGAAATTATAAATTGCTTTTTGTACTACAGCCATTTCAGGAAACTAATTCTGCAATCCCTGGGTGTGAGTAGTCTTTCCGTCTTGTATTTATCATTCTCTTCAGTGTCTTAAAATTTTGAAGGTAGAATTTTTTTCACTCTTCTGGTAGATATATTCCCATGTGTTTTATTATTATCTGTTTATTTAATATTTTGTTTTTTAAACTATTATGAGCTACTAGCATTTCTCTTGTAGCATCTTGGGAATCTCCTTGGTATACATGTTGATTTTGTGCCTTGCTAACCATTGGCAGTTCTGAGAGTTTTCTTATGGGTTATATTGTCTACAAATAAAGGGGTAGTTTGATACCCCTCTTCTTTTTTGTCTGTATCACTTTTGTTTTTTGTTGTTTTTTTTTTTTTGTCTTATCTTGCTGCTGTAACTAGAGTTGAAGCTCTATATTGAATTTTGGTGGAGAGAATAGAAACCTATCTCATTCCTGATTTTAAAGAACTACTTTGGGTTTTTAAGATACTTTTGACAGAAAGGGTTTGTTCCAGTTTGTGAAGGTCAGTCAGTAGGAACCTGAAGGTGACAGCTGAAACAGAGGCCACAAACTCAACTTACTTTACTGGCTTGCTCTCTGTGGCTCCATCAGCCTGTTTTCTTACACAACCCAGGACCTTCAGGAGCACTACCTACAGTAGGTAGGGACTTCCCACATCAGTCCTTAACCAAGAAAATAGATTTGCCTGCTGGCCAGTCTGATGGAAGAACTTTCTCAGTTGGGCCTCCCTTTTTCTAGATGACCCAAGCTGGTGTCAAGTTTACAAAAAATAAGATAAAAATAACCATGTATGTAGTATAAGAAAATAAATTATTTCTGGTTTGTTCCTTTTTAAAATTTTTTTTTTGTAGATCTGTTTAATTTTATGTGTATGAATGTTTTGCCTGCATGTGTGTTTGTGAACCACATCCATGACTGGTGCATGCAGAGGTCAGAGAAGCTATCAGCTCCCCCTTGGAAGCACAGTTACAAATGACTTTGACTCCCCATGTCAGTGTGGGGAGTTGAACTCAAGTTGAATGCAAGAACAGCAAGTCCTCTCAGCTGCTGAGCTGTCTCTCCAGCACTTTTTCTTTATTTTTGAGAATGTCATACATGTATAAAATGAAGTAGGATCATGGCTACCCACCATTTTCCTCTCCAGCTCCCTACATATCTCTCACAATACCTCCCTCAACTTCCTATCTATTGTTATTTCTTTTTATTTATAGGCTATTAAATCCAGTTAGTGCCATCTGTAGGGGAGTGCGCACTGGAGCATGGAAACCTACCAGTGCCAAACCCTTAAAACAGAGTGATGCTCCCTCCCCAACAAGCATCCACTGCGAGTATCTCCTCAGTAGGGGTGGGGCTTGAGACAGTTGATCAAACCAATTGGAGGTGGGTGAGTAGGTGGATAGCATGCCTTGTCAAAGGCTTTTGCTATATAGAAGAAAGATTGTCATATTTTTCTATTTTGACTCTGATATGGTG